TCAATATGGCCGCCACGTCCCACAATGCAACGCGGATCCCAAGCCCTATATTAAAATTGCACCAGAATAAAAATATTGGGTGACATTTTTTATTTTTAAGTCTGGAAACAATATTCTTCCTGTTTAAATCTGCACCAGAACTTTTTTAGGGTTTTCATAGCAAAGGGAGAATATAAATATGCACATTACCTGTGAAGTGTTCTATATTACCTTTGGGCACCATTAAAGCTTCTCTGCTTCAGTTAAACACCCACAATCCTTTGCTGCATAGTAACCACAAAAAAACCAACTTAATCAATCACCTTCCTTCCAAAAACAGTGACTAAGGTTTAACAAATCAGAACGACGACCATGTGGTTCAAAATGACCAGCAATGACCCACACTGGTATTAATGCTGGTATATATCGTCCATCCTTGCAAAAAAGTATTTAAATTAAAGGTTATAAAGCAAGAAAAACTCCAGGGAGACGGGGGAAAGGTTTTTGCAGTTGTCCTTTTCCTTCCTCACCTCAGTTAAGCTCCAAGTTGCTTTGTTTGTAAAAGAAAAAAAAAACAATGTGTGAAAGTTTGAGGCTGGGCTGTGACTAAAAAGAGAAAAACCTTTTTGCATATATAGCCCTGGCTGGTTCATCCACCCACTCTCACATATTCCTAATGAAACCAGTTGAATGTTAAATCAGATAAGGTTTCCTGACTGCGACCATGGCAACGAAAACAAACAACCCATCACCTAAATCTGATTCAGATCATCAGAAATCAGCAAATTGTGGAGGGCCAATGTAAAACTGTAAAATCCAATCAGATCTGTGCGCATTTTAAATCAAAGAAAAAGTCTAAAAACCACAGCATCAAAGTTCAGTCATATTAAGAAACAAGCATGAACCCAACTTCTCCTCCTCTACTAGCATTAAAATAAGACTTGAATTTAAATTTGACACCCGTATGTTTCACAAGAGGAGAAATTTCCCTCTGTGGCTGAAAAAGATGAGGTATGTGTGATGCGGTTAGTGCTGGTGAGGGAGATGAGGACATCCAGTGTCTGATGCAGAGCAGGGACTTCACCTGAATCTCCAGCTCTGAGATCTGTTGCTGAAGCTCAGCCATGGCAGCGATGTTGTCAGCTTCCCTCAACCTCACAGCCATCACCTCTTCCTTACTCTGCAAAAAACATCAACACTGCTTGTTTTTTTTTGCCCAATTTCACAGGTTGAATTTCACAGTTTAAACCACAACTGAGCTCTGTTGGCTAGCCCTCTGCAGAGGCAATGCTAACAGCTACAGGTTGTTTGTACCTTGCACTCAATCTCAGCCTGCCTCCGCTTGATCTCCTGCAGCTGCGTGTGCAGATCCTTATTTTGGGTGGTCAGCGTCGTCACACGCTCCTGTAGACAGCGGCTCTCCTGTTCAGCCCGCCGCAGCTGGTTGCTGTGGATCTGATTCTGGAGCAGCAGACAGAAAATAAAGGCATGCTAAATAACATTACAGATAATCGCTGCCCTCTAATGGTGGCTGTATAACATCACAACAAAAAGAGAAAAGATAAGATGCTGTGGAGTGAATTTTGTTCAATTATTATTATTGAAAATAACATGTTTTCCCGGGTAAATTTGCGTTTTATCAGATTTTTTTTTCCAAATTATCTTTTCTACTTAATTTATTATTATTTATTTTTTTTTTTTTACAGATCTAATAATTCAAATCTCTCTCTTTCAGATGCGTTTTCCATTCTTTTCACATTGTGTTTTACAGCTCTCAATCGCTTCACTTTAAGCCTAATGCAAACAATAAAATGCTGTCGCCAACGTCCAGCAGACCAATTGAAATGTGACTTCACTCCTCCGTCCAGAGGAGAGCCCGCCCCCAGA